GCCTGCGGACGGTAGCACTGGGGCCGTCGGTGGAGCTCCCTATGGGGCCACGAAGCGTTGTACTCGGTAGATGAAACCCCAAATTGGGCGTATGGGACGCATGCGGGCTGTCCTGCTGGAGGTGTCGGTGGAGCTCCCTGGGGTGCCACGAAGCGCTGTACTGGGCGGGTGGAAGAATGCCACATTGACAGTATGTGTGTTCTGTGTTGTGTGCTGTGTGTTGTGTGGTGTGTGTTGTGTGTTGTGTGTGTGTTGTGTGTGTTGTGTGTTGTGTGTATTGTGTGTTGTGTGTGTTGTGTGTGTGTTTTGAATGTGTTGTGTGTGTTGTGTTGTGTGTGTTGTGTGATGTGTGTGTGTGTCGTGTGTGTTGTGTGTTGTGTGTTGTGTGTTGTGTGTTGTGTGTGTTGTCTGTGGTGTGTGTGTGTGTTGTGTTGTGTGTTGTGTGTGTTGTGTGTTGTGTGTGTTGTGTGTGTTGTGTGTTGTGTGTTGTGTGTGTTGTGTGTTATGTGTTGTGTGGTGTGTTGTGTGTGTGTGTTGTGTGTGTTGTGTGTGTGTGTTGTGTGTGTGCGGGTGTGTGTGTGTGTGGTGTGTGTGTGTGTGCGTGCGTGCGTGCGTGCGTGCGCGCGCGTGCGCGTGTGTGTGTGTGACGTATGCGGGCGGCCCCAGTGGGGGCTTCAGTGGAGCTCTGTATGGGGCCACGAGGCGCTGTACCGGGTGGGTGAAAATGCCAAATGTGGCTTTCGGGACGCATGCGGACCGTGGCATTGGGGCCTTCGGTGGCCTGTGGGGCCACGAACCGCTGTACTGGGTGTATGAAAATGCCAGATTGGGTTTCGGTGGATCTCCCCATGGGGCCACGAAGCGCTGGGTGTGAAAATGGCACATGGGGTGTGCGGGGCGCATGCGGGCTGTCCCGCTGGGGGGTTCGGTGGAACACCCTATGGGGCCACGAAACGCTGTTTTGGGTGGGTGAAAATGCGAAATCGGGTTTTTCGCGGTGCATGCGAATTGTGGCACTGGGGCCTGCGGTGGAGCTCCCTATGGGGCCACGAGGCGCTGCACTGGGTGGGTCTAGGTTTTCTGGACGCAAGCGAACGGTCCCACTGGGGGGTTCGGTGGAGCTGCCTGTGGGGCCACGAATCGGTGTACCGGGTGGGTGAAAATGCCAAATCTGGCTTTCGGGACGCATGCGGACCGTGGCACTGGGGCTTCGGTGGGCCTCCCTATGGGGCCACGAGGCGCTGTATTGGGTGGGTGCACATGCCAAACTTTGCTTTCGGGACGCATGTGGACGGTCCCACTGGGGGCTTCGGTAGCTCCTTATGGGGCCACGATGCACTGTACTGGGTGGGTGGAAATGCCAAATTTGGATTTCGGCACGCACGCGGACGGTTCTGCTGGGGCCGTCGGTGGGGTTCCCTATGGGGCCACGAAGCGCTGTAGCGCTGTACTGCGTGTGCGGGACGAACGCGGACGGTAGCACTGGGACCTTCGGTGGGGCTCCCTATGATTCCACGAAGCGCTGTACTCGGTGGGGGGGGGGGGCGCATGCGGACGGTAGCACTGGGACCTTCGGTGAGGTTCTCTATGAGGTCACAAAGCGCTATACGAAGTGAGTGGTACGCAGGGAAAAAGCAACGAAACGCTGTACTGAGTGCGGGAATGCACGCCAACAGTAACATTAAAACCTTCGGTGGGGCTCCCTATGGGGCCACGAGGCGCTGTACTGGGTAGGTCAAACGCAGGGAGGAAGGAGGAAGGGGCCACGAAACGTTGTACTGGGTGGTGGGGGGGGGGACGCACGCGGACGGTAACACTTGGACCTTCGGCGGGGCTCCCTGTGGGGCCACGAAACGCTGTAGTGGGTGGGTGAAACGCAGGGAGGAGAGAGGAGGGGGCTACGAAACGCTGTACTAGGTGGGGGGACGCATGCGGACGGTAGCAATGGGACTTGCGGTGGGGTTCTCTATGGGGTCACGAAGCGCTGTACTGGGCGGGTGAAACGCAAGGAGGAGGGGAGGGAGGAGGAGGGAGGAGGAGAGGAGAGGAGAGGAGAGGAGAGGAGAGGAGAGGAGAGGAGAGGAGAGTAACGCGGGGACCGTCTCTTCAAACCGAAAACCTAACGCTACAGGATGGTTGGAAAATTAGCCTGGCGAGAAACCCAACCATACGAAGGTGTGAATACCGCAATTGTGAATACCATGTTCGCCCACGTTCTCTATGTGGCCACGGCTTCCCGCCAGAGCCCGACATGCTCAGAGACACGTTCGCGGCCGTCTTCGCGGGCGCCGACGACGACGAGGACGGCGTACCCCTGACCGAGGAGCAGAAGCAGGAGAGGGCTCTGAGAGCATGAGGGAAGCTGCCACTGGCGCCTTCGGTGGAGCTCCTATGGGGCCACGATCCTCGTGAGAGGTGTGCCGAAATGGCCCGAGGCCGCTATGCGAACCCTGCCGCTGGGGCCTTCGGTGGACCTCCTTATGGGGCCACGATCCTCGTGAGGGGTGTGCCGAAATGGCCCGAGGCCGCCATGCGAGTTCCGCCACTGGGACCTTAGGTGGAGCTCCCTATGGGGGCCACGAAACGTGCGAGGGGTGTGCCGAAATCGCCCGAGGCCGCCATGCGAACCCTGCCACTTGGGCCTTCGGTGCAGCTCCCTATGGGGCCACGATCCTCGTGAGGGGTGTACCGAAATCGCCCGAGGCCGCCATGCAAGTTCCGCCACTTGGACCTTAAGTGGCGTCCCTGTGGGGCCACGAAGCGTATGAGGGGTGTGCCGAAATGGCCAGAGGCCGCCATGCGAGTTCCGCCACTGGGACCTTAAGTGGCGTCCCTATGGGGCCACGAAACGTGTGAGGGGTGTGCCGAAATGGCCCGAGGCCGCCATGCGAGTTCCGCCACTGGGACCTTAGGTGGAGCTCCCTATGGGGCCACGAAACGTATGAGGGGTGTGCCGAAATGGCCCGAGGCCGCCATGCGAGTTCCGCCACTGGGCCCTTAGGTGGAGCGCCCTATGGGGCCACGAAACATGTGAGGGGTGTGCCGAAACGGAGCGGTGCCGAAATCGATGATGGCGATGATGGTGATGATGGTGGTGATGATGATGATGATGATGGTGATGATGATGATGGTGATGATGATGATGATGATGACGATGATGATGATGATGATGATGATGATGGTGATGGGCAGCGGGGGGAGGGGGAGGAGGAGGAGAGGAGGAACGCGGGCCACCGTCTCTTCAAAACGAGGACCCAACACCACAGGACGGTTGGGAATTAGCCAGGCGAAAGACCCAACCATACGCAGTTGTGAATACCGCAAGTGTGAATACCATCTTCGCCCACGCTCCCTATGTGGCCAGAGCTTCCCGCCGGAGCCCGACATGCTCAGGGACACGTTCGCGGCCGTCTGCGCGGGCGCCGACGACGACGAGGACGGCGTACCCCTGACCGAGGAGCAGAAGCAGGGGAGGGCTCTGAGAGCCATGAGGGAAGCTGCCGCTGGCGCCTTCGGTGGAGCTCCTATGGGGCCACGATCGTCGCGAGGGGTGTGCCGACATGGCCCAAGGCCGCTATGCGAACCCTGCCGCTGGGGACTTCGGTGGAGCTCCCTATGGGGCCGCAATCCTCGTGAAGGGTGTGCCGAAATGGCCCGAGGCCGCCATGCGAGTTCCGCCACTGGGACCTTAGGTGGAGCGCCCTATGGGGCCACGAAACGTGTGAGGGGTGTGCCGAAATGGCCCGAGGCCGCCATGCGAGTTCCGCCACTGGGACCTTAGGTGGAGCTCCCTATGGGGCCACGAAACGTATGAGGGGAGCACCCTGCGAGTTCTGCCACTGGGACCTTAGGTGGAGCGCCCTGTGGGGCCACGAAACGTGTGAGGGGTGTGCCGAAATGGCCCGAGGCCGCTATGCGAGTTCCGCCACTGGGACCTTAGGTGGAGCTCCCCATGGGGCCACGAAACGTATGAGGGGTGTGCCGAAATGGCACGAGGCCGCCATGCGAGTTCCGCCACTGGGACCTTAGGTAGAGCGCCCTATGGGGCCACGATCCTCGTGAAGGGTGTGCCGAAATGGCCCGAGGCCGCCATGCTAGTTCCGCCACTGGGGCCTTAGGTGGAGCTCCCTATGGGGCCACGAAACGTGCGAGGGGTGTGCCAAAATGGCCCGAGGCCGCCATGCGAACCCTGCCACTGGGGCCTTCGGTGGAGCTCCCTATGGGGCCACGATCCTCGTGAGGGGTGTGCCGAAATGGCCCAAGGCCTCCATGTGAGTTCCGCCACTGGGGCCTTCGGTGGAGCTCCCTATGGGGCCATGTGAGGGGTGTGCAGAAATGGCCCGAGTCCGCCATGCAAGTTCCGCCACTGGGACCGTAGTTGGAGCTCCCTATGGGGCCACGAAACGTGTGAGGGGTGTGCCGACAGAGAGACATGCGGAAGGCAGAGGCAAGGAGGGGGAGGAGGGAGGAGGAGGAGAGGAGTAACGCGGGGCGCCGTCTCTTCAAAACGAAGACCCAACACCACAGGATGGTTGGGAGAAAACTGGCGCACGAGGGCACCAGGACTGGGCGCACCCGTGAGAAGCACGCCCCTGCACGTCCGCCTCGCAGCGAGGCAAAGGAGCGACCCTGGCGAGGCACCGGGAGACGGCGGCAGGAGGGCAAGGCAGGATGATGCCGTGGAGTACCATGTGGGCCTCCCAAGAGGGCGAACAAATTGGAAAATGAGGGAAGGATGACGGCAGGGGTACCTGTTCCTCCTCCGAGCATCATGCAAACCCTAGCCGACCACTCGGTAGCTTCTTGAACCCCATGCGTCCTGCCACCGATCTTGGAGTACCATGTGGGACCTGCTCTAGGAAAGGGACGTACCGTAGACGGCTCTACCCTTTCTCCGACCTCGCATCGCGCCGAACGCAGCGGCCACGTTGTCCATAGACGCATCCACCCCGAAACGTCTGCGGACATCACGGCACCCAGTGTCTCCATGGACGTGTTTTTTGGCTAGGACGCGAGAACGGTAGGTAGCATCGGCCTCAGACGCTGGTCGTCTAGAAGCAGGTAAACTTGGCCCTTGCAAAAACATGCAGCATCGCAAAAAAAATCGCGACCGGAGGCCTGGACCCCACTTTTCTGCGTCATTTTTCGAGCCAGATCGATCTGTGAGCGTCCTGGGGCCCGGGAGTTGAGCGAAAACGCCCGTGGTGAAACAACTGCAACGCCAGGATCTCAGGCCCTCCCAGGTGATGCCGCACGGCATGCGGAGGCGCTGTTCTGCCCGCCCGCCCGCGAGCGACTCGGCGCGCTGCTCCTCGCGGCGGCCGTCGCGGCGGCCGTGCGGGCTGGCGGGCCCCGTGCTCAGCAGGCGGGACGGTGGGAGGAGTCCTGGAGGGACAGAAATTGGCGGCGCGCACAAGGGGGTAGAGGGAGGGGGGAAGGCTTCTTAGGAGGAGGCTGCTTCTTAGAAGGCGCTGGCCTTACATCTACAGAGAAGGCCCGCGCCTTCTGAGAAGCCTTCCCCACTCTCCCATACCCCCCTCTGCGCGTGGCCGAAAAAAAAGCTACCGATACCGCTACTCTCCAGACCTCTCCAGGGGGGCGCTCTGACCAAAAACTCGAGAGGCGAGTCCAGCCGTGGCGACGAGGAAAACAGCAGCGGTATCCGTAGACTTTCCTCCTCTGAAGTCCTCCCTCATCTCCTTGAGCCAGTCCGGGTCCTGCTTCTCGCCAGGCCCTCGCGACGGCCGCCTGCGGGCGCCGTGCTCAGCAAGCGGGATAGTGGGCAAAGTCCTCCTTCATCTTCTTGAGCCAGTCCGGGTCCCTCCGCTTCCCCTCGGAGGGCGCCGAGGGAGCCAACCCGACCGCCGAGTCCGCCCTCGGATGCCGCGCCAGAGGCTTCGCCGGCGGGGCGCGGCCAGCAGCGGCGTCGGCCCTTCGGGCGGCCGCGCCCGTCGGGGCCGGCGCCGCGCCCCACGAGCGGCGAGCAGGTCCGTACCCGGGCCCTCGCGGTCAGGGTTTTCGGGGGCGCGAGCCCGCGGACGCGCGGTCGTGAGGGGGCCCTGGGACACGCAAACCAATCCGCACAAGTCCCAGGATTCCCCATGTTTTCCCATGTCTTCTGGGGTTTTGTCTTCCCCCCCACTTCCCAGATTTTCCCATCGTTTCCTGGGAGTCGACGGTTCATTGTGTCTGTGTGTGTGTGTGTGTGTCTTTCCCTCCTGAGGTCGCACGGATGCGCTCCGCGCGGGGCAGCCGCGAGCGAACGCCCCGCGTCCACGGGGTCGGGGCCCAGGGGCCCGGCCCTCGGGGCCACGGATGCGGATGCTGCAGGCTCGTGTCGCTGGCTGCCCCAGCGCAGGTCGCCGACACCGCGTGGATCGCTCGACACCCGGAACGAGCGGCGGCTCTTCGATCGCCAGATCGATGCACATGGGCCAAGTCTGGGCCAGTGGCGGCTTTCGGCCTGAACGCCAACGCTTGGGTCGCCGCCGCGTCGACGCGGGAGGCTGCCACCTCGGGCCCGAGCCACGGGGCCTGGCAGCGAGAAGAGGGTGGGAAGGTGCAGCTGCCAGGGGCAGACCTGCTGGGTAGGCCTATGTCGAGGGGCCCAAGGACACACAAATATACACAAATCCCAGGATTCCCCATACTTGTTCCATACATATGTTCTGGGTGTTCGTCTTCCCACCCACTTCCCAAAGTTTTCCACATTTTCCTGGGAACTGACGATGACTTGTGTCTGTGTGTTTCCCCCTCCTGACTATGGGGAAGGGCCTTGGGACAGGCCTGAGACAGGCCCAGGAGAAGGGCCAAGGGGTAGGCACAGGTACAGGGCCGTGGGATGGGCCTATGTAGAGGTCTCCTCCTCCCTTCTCCTCCTCCTCCTCCTCCTCCTCCTCCTCCTCCTCCTCCTCCTCCTCCTCCTCCGCCTCCTCCGCCTCCTCCTCCTCCTCCTCCTCCTCCTCCTCCTCCTCCTCCCCGGCCGCGGATACGGATGTGTGTGCCTCGCCAACGAGCACTTGCCCCCACCAGCGAAGTCCGCCGAAGCACCGAGGGGCAAAACCCTGGCCGTCGGAGCCGCCCCCCCGCGGGGCCCCCGCTCCTCGCCGCCGGCCAGCAGGAGCTCGTAGCAGCCGTGGAGACCTCGGCGTGCCGCCCAGCCCCCCTCGGACACCGCGTCACGGGCGGGAGCTTCTGGAGGCAAGAAAGAAGGAAGAGAGATGAAGATGAAGTCCTCCTCCTCCTCCTCCTCCTCCTCCTCCTCCTCCTCCTCATCCGCCTCCTCCTCCTCCTCGTCCTCCTCCTCCTCCTCCTCCTCCTCCTCAGCGTGCCGCCCGGCCCCCCTCGGCACCGCGTCACGGACGGGAACTTCTGGAGGCAAGGAACCCAGACCCCCTCGCGCTGTGAAAAAATCACGACGGAAGGCTGTTCCCCATTTTCGGCCTCCGGGGGCCCCCGCCGGGCCTCAGGAACGTCAAAAAACGACTCGAGACGAAAAACCGGTCCCGGGGAAGGGGTCCAGACCTCTGGAGGTCGACGCTGTGAAAGAATCACGACGTAGGGGTTCTGGGAAGGGGGACAAGGCGAGCATTGGTCGTGTTCCTCCCACTCCCCCATTCCTCTCCCCTCCCTTTCCCCTCCCCTCTCCATGTTCTCCCTCCTCCTGGCCCGCAGGAGACACACGATCTCGCTGACCTCTCGCTTGCATCCTGAGCGGCAGCACGAGTGATCTGTTCCAGGCGCAGTCGAAGGACTGATTGCTTGCCGCTGCTGTCTCCGTTGTTGCTTGCTCCGCAGCCTGTTGCAATATCGGGGGGTTACCGTGCCCGCGGTCGTTCGGGACGATCTGATCACCCCCGTCGGCGGCGCGCAGAGGGGGGTAGGGCCAGGGGGGAAGGCTTCTTACAAAGAGGCTGCTCCTTAGAAGGCGCCTGCTACACATCTACAGACAAGGCCCGCGCCTTCTAAGAACCAGCCTCCCTCTAAGAACCCCTCCCCCCTCCCCCTACCCCCCTCTGCGCACGGCCGACCCCGCCACGCTCTCGGCGGGGCACAGCTGCTGAGGACAACGACGAGGAGGGCAAGCCGCCGAGGACCGACGAAAACGCCGAACCAAACCACGAGCCTCGAACCTCCAACGCCCGGCCCTTGTGCGCGCCGCCAACCTGCTCCGACCGCTTCCCCAGGAGTGGTTTCTCGACCCAGAATAATTGTTGATGGCCTCGGGGCCCGAAAACAGCCCCCCCCCGTCCCAGAAGCTCAACCACCTCGCGCCGCCCCTCCAGCCGAACTGTTCCGGCCGCTTCCCCAGGGTTCGTTTCGTCCCAGGACAGATCTCGATGGCCCCCAAGTGTTTTGATAGTAAATGTGCGCCTACAGAGCTCATATTAAGACGCAGAGGCCCTCCTATTTGTCTACAGGTGCGAAAAATCTGCTTTCTCAAAATGAATGGTCAAATATCTTTCAAATAATGGCAAAACCGACCAAAAGTTAACACTTTGTCCTTTCTGGCCCCCGGGCCCGCAAGCCGCCCCCCGAGGGCAGAGAACGAGGAAAAACGCCCGCGGAACAAAGGCATGCCGCCGGAGGTCTGGTGTACCGGCTCGGCCGCCCGCGCCACTGCCCTGTGCGCGCCGCCAACCGGTTCGGAGCGCCTTCCCCGAGGGGGAGGTCCGTCCATGCACAGCGCTTGAGGTCCCCGAGGGCCCGAAGACGGCCCCCGAGGGCCGAGATCGAGGAAAAGCCGCCGGCTGACAAAATCATCGCGTCGGAGATCTGGCACCTGTCGTTCTTCAGTCCGATACCCCATGGAGACAGTTTTTCGCCCCAGATCCATGTTGGATGGCGACGGGATCCGAGAATGGATCCAGACGGGCCGAAAACGAGGACGCATCGCTTGCGACATATACAAGGAAAAAATGTTGAGGCCCACATAGACGGAGCAAGCGACATAAAGATACGGTCTCCTTACAAAATCGCCTCACCTGGGGCCAAGCCTCCCCTCCACCTCCACCATATCCTCGCCCTCGCTCTCCTGAGCCCCCTACCTCCTCATCGCTTGTCGCCCTCGTCCTCCTCCTGGTCCTCCTGCTCCGTCAGCTCCTGCTCCTGCTCCTGCTTCTGCTCCTGCTCCTGCTCCTGCTCCTCCTGACCCTCCCCCCCTTCCTCCTCATGAATCCTCCTCCTCCTCCTCCTCCTCCTCCTCCTCCTCGCCCTCGCCCCCTCTACCTCCTCTACCTGCGACCCGCTCTGCCGCCCCCCTCCCCCCCCCCCCCGGAGGCGCGGGGCGCGACGCTGGAACTCGGCGGACGCGGCCTCTGGCTGCGCCTCCCCAGAGCCTCGCGCTGGGACGCGGGGGGGTCACGGGCCGCCCCGCCAGGGGGGGGGGGGGGCCGGTGGGCCCCTCGGGCGCACTCCAGCCAGCGGAGGAGGAGGGTGCAATTCGAGGTTCAAGGAGGAGGAGGAATAGGAGGAGGAGGAGGAGGAGGAGGAGGAGGAGGACAAGAAGAAGAAGAAGAAAAAGAAGAAGAAGAAACAGGAGAACGACAACGGCGAGATCGAGGAGGAATGAGGGTGGAGGGAGCAGGAGGAGGAGGACGACAAACACGACGAGCAGGACGAGGAGGAGGAGGAGGACAAGCGTGGCTGACGCGGCACGCGGAGGAGGAGGAGGAGGACAGGGAGGGCGAGGAGGGGGACGATGAGGAGTCTCAAAGTTTGCCCTGCTCTGGCCTGCAGAAGTATCTGGGGTTGTCGGGAGTTTATTGGAACCCCCCAAAGACCTCTGGAAGGGGAAGGCGAGGAAAACGAGAAAAGAACGCAGAGAGGGAACCCGACGCAAAGGCAACCTGCAAAAGGCTGGCCAGCCACATTTGCCAAGGACTGGCCGGTAAGAGAGGGCGCAGGTGCAACAGTGGAGGAGCACCTCGTCCTTGTTACGGGCGGCGGCCGCAAGAACGGCGTCTTCCGCTGCCCTCGCGCGCACCGCCGTGCCGAGCATCGCGAAGTGCCGCGGCGCCACGTACGAAGCACCTGTCCATGCTGACGCCGCCCAGATCCTTGACCGCAGTCGCCGCTGCTACTGCTGCGGGGCGCTGGACACCATGGTGACAGTGATCGAGCACTTTCGGGACAAGCCCAACGTCCTGGCAGAGCGACATGCCCACGGCGAGGCGTCGCAGGGCGCACGGATCCAGCAGCGGTGGCCCAAACCTGGCCAGTGAACGCCCAAACTACGTCTGTCCTGGGATACGTTCGGCCTCCCCTGATGTCTGTTGTTCTCGAGAGCTCGGCACAAAGCGCGCTCCAACCGCAGAGACCACAGCACGGCACCAGCATCGTAAGCACTGCAAGCTGTGAGCGCGAAGTGCGGGGCTGAGGTCGGAAGAACCGACCTCACGCGTGCGAGATGGATGGTTGGCCTGACGAGCCAGCCACCTGCACCCACCCAGGCAGCATGATGGAGCCCGCCTCCGTGCTGCTGGCCCCGCCTGCCCCGAGGGCCCCAGGCAACGAGGCAAGAGAGTAGGAAAAGAGATGACGATGAGTTCGTCGATGTGATCACCTAGGGAAACGGCACACCGTAGCGAGCCGAGGCTGCCCTCGGCGCCAGCGATGCTGTCAGGAACTGCTGCTTGGCGTGTCGCGTGCTGCTATGCCCTGCAGGAGGATGGCGTGCCGCCCCGCCTCGCGGGGCGGGAGGCTGGGAAGAGCTCGGGACGTTGCCGCTCGGGGACCGGGACATGGTCAGCGTGTCGCTGCGAAGCGTGGTAGGCCAGAACCGGCGGAGCGACACGCTGAGCACAGGTGCCCGAACCGTACGGCGACATCTTTCTCGGAGCACGCCGAAGACGGGCCTCGAACGCTGAAGCGGCTCAAAGTGGATGACCCGCGCCCGAGCGACGACTTGCTGGTTCATTACCCTCCTCCTCCTCCTTCTCTTCCTCCTCCTCCTTCTCATCCTCATCCTCGTCCTCATCCTTCAGTTTGTCGCGGGTGAGGCACCCACACCAGCACTCAGAGAGCTACAATGAGCTCCTGGGTCCTCCTCCTCCTCCTCCTCCTCCTCCTCCGTTCTCTTTCTTGTAAATAAATCCTCCCTGTTGCACCCGAGGCTGATCGGAAGGGCGGGCCAGCGTTCTGCTTGAAACTTCCCTGACCATTCATGATCCTTAAGATTATGAGTTTGCAATAGCTTCACTCATGGGGCGCATGGTTTCCAAAATGTGGCTCTGCCTTAGCGTCGCGCGCATGCGTCTGCAAAACTTACAAGTGCTTGACGGATTGAGGGTGGGCCGTTTCTAAAATGTGGCTCTCCCCTCAGCCTCGCGCATACTCGTCTTAAACATTCGGAAGAGCTTCACGGATTGAGGGCGGGCGGTTTTCAAAATGGGGCTCTCGTTTTAGCGCCGCGTACATTCGTAACACACACCTCTAGGAGCTTCACGGATTGAGGGCGGGCCGTTTTCAAAATGGGGCTCTCGCCTCAGCGCCGCGCACATTCGTCTAAAAACTTGCAACATCTTCACGGATTGAGGGCGGCTCCTTTTCAACATGTGGCTCTCGCCCTACCGCCGCGCACACTCGTCTGAAACATTCGCAAGATGTTCACGTATTCCCATGGTCAACGTACCAGACATGGCGTTCTGGAACGATTCTGGATTGTCAGGGCGAAACCGTTACGTTGACTCGCGATGCTGAAGTCGCAGGAATTGTGTGTTCGCGCGGTTCAAGACCGTCAAGACGCAACAGTCAAGTTAATTCCTGGCGTTGGGTTCCCGATAATGGCGTTTTGGCATGCCTCAAGATCTTCAAACGGTTGTCTCCCAACGGGGCAGTTCCCTCAGTGGATCTGAATCCTTCCGGGGGCCTTTGAAGAGGGAGCTTGGAGGGAGGGTATATTCCAACATCGTTGATGAGACTTAGGTTTGGACTGGTCCCCTCCTCCTCCTCCTCCTCCTCCTCCTCCTCCTCCTCCTCCTCATTTTCCTTCTCCTCCTTCTCTAACCTCCCTCCCTCCTTCCTTCCTCCCTTCCTCCTCATGCTTCCTCCCCCTCCTCCTCCCTCCTCATCCCTGCAACGTCCTCCCTCCTCCATTCTCCCTCTTCCCCCCCCCAACTCCCTCCTCCCTCCTACCTCCTCCCATCCTGCCTCAGCCCTCCTCCCTCCTCCCCCCTTCCCTCGCCCTCTCGTCCCTCATCCTCCCCACTCCTCCTCGGCCTCCTCGTCCTCCTCGTCCTCCCCCTCCTCCCCAAACCGCTGCGGCGGACTCGGAGTGTGGCCCGTGGATGCGCCCCCTGCAGAGCCGGGAGGCGCCCTTGCCCCCCGGGGGGCACAGGCTCCCCCGTGCCAGGGCGCCAGGCTTGGGTCGGTCCGGTCCCCCGACAGGCGGATCTTGGACGAAAGATGTGAAAACAGAATCAAGAATACCCCAGCAGAGTCAAAAGCAGTCGAAGATTCGCCCCCTGACGATTTCTAGACTATTCTTGGACGTTCCCCCCGTAGAGGGACCTGCCCGACTCGACGCCAGGCCGCTCCGAGCCCCGCGCCAGGGCGCCAGGTCGCAGCAGCAAGACGAAGCCAGGACGCGGATAACAGCGGGCAGGGATACATGGGTTTAATAATTATAGAGATTAGAGATTTAGGGTTCAGGGTTCAGGGTTTAGGGTTTAGGGTTTATACAAACTACACCAAAGAGAAAACCCAAGCAGTGGATGGTTTGAAATGGGGTCGATAGAGAAATCGAGAAAGAGATCGACCGGGGACCCGGGAACCCGGAATCCACCGAAGTCGGACCGGAACCAATGACCAATTGAACCCGGGGAACCCAGAACCGGGAACCCGGGAACTCAGCCGGCCACCAAAATCGGCGGGACACTTTCGCCAAATCTTTCAATTTCCGTTAGGGCCCCTTCAGTGCAAGCACTGATTGGGGAATGATTTGGCGCAAAAGGACCCCTAACCCTTTGGGAGGCGACCTAAGTTAGGAGGGCCAGGAACACTGGGGCTAGGGGGTCTTTTCTGCAGATGTGTCAGGCCAAACCGCCCAGAATGATGATCCCGAATACGAAGGCGGGGACCTAAGTGAGGCCACGTCTTCACCGTGTTATCAGGGTTAGGGGTTCTATTGTTCGCGGTGAAGAGAATATCTGAGGTCCAGCGTCTCTGGAGGATGTCTCGGGCGCCGCGGCCTTCTCAGAGCATGTTTCTGGAGCGCACTGGGAGCCTTCCGGGACACGCTCTGGAACGGACCTGTCGTCCTCGTCCTGGCCCCGCCCGACGCAGCGGCAGATCCGACCGACTGCGGACCCCCTGGGCGGCCCGGCGTTTGCCTCCGCCAGCGTCCGCCTCGCCAGCGCTCGGACGCCCGCTTCCCGTGCACTGCTCGGCTTCACGCGCTTACCCGACGTCGTGGTTTTGTTCACAACGTCGACCCCCCGAGGTCTGGCTGGACCCCTTCCCCAGGACACATTTTTTCATCCTGAGTCGTTTTTCGACGCTCCCGAGGCCTGGTGAGGGCCCCCTGAGACCGAAAATAAAGAAACATCTTCCGTCGTGGCTTTGGTTGTTGACCGAGGGTCACTGGGTTTCCGCACGATGATCCACGATGCTCCTCGACGGCCCTCGCGGAGAAAAAAGGCACACGTCCGAGCAATGCCAAGCCGCTGGGCCTCTGCCGGCGAAACCGGCCTCGCTGTCTTGGGCATCGCTTAACGGGGGGGGCGATACAGTCGGCCCGTATCATTAGGATGCGCGATAAGGATGCAAAGGCCTTGGACGCCCACTGCGAAGCTTCGCGAGCGGGGCGCGGCCAACGAAGGTGGCCAAGGATGGACCGAGGAGGCAAGGATGCGAGGGCACCCTTGGGAAGGTTGCCCATCCTTACTGTGCGGGTTGATTGCGTTTTCCGCACGATGGTCCGGGATGCTCCTCGACGGCCCTCGCCGAAAAAAAAAACACGTCCGAGCAATGCCAAGCCGCTGGGCCTCCGCCGCCGGAGCCGCCCTCGCTTTATGGGGCGTCGCTGAGCGGGGGGGCGATAAACGGGGGGGGGGGAGAAAAGGTGCACGGGGCGATAAACGGGGGGGGCGATAAACGGGGCGATAAACGGGGGGGGAGGGAAAGGTGCACTGTTCGGGCCCTTGGGGCATCCTTGTGGGCCCGAAGGCGCCCCTTCCGGGGCCCCAGGGGGCCCCTTTTCTGCGGCCCTCGCTGCCCCCCCCTATCTTATTTGCGCAGGGACCGACCGTCCCAGCATTCCTATAAGTCTACCGCGAAATGTTCGTCGAACCCATATATAGAACAAATATTCTTAGAACACAAACCCGATGTGCTAAAACAAGACGGTCTCAGCCAGAAATGCTCTGAAAACCTTTGGTGCAGACCACAGGAGGCTCTCAGAACAGTATTAAACATTACTTGGTGGCCTTATGGGCAAGCCAGGACGCTTCGCCACTGCTCGACTTATCGCCCCCCCCACCCCAATACGCATCGCCCAAACTTTACACGTCGATCGGAAGAAGTAGGTAAAAGCATGAAGTGGGAAGGCGGATAACGCAGATTGGGCTCAGGCCCTCCCAGATAATGACAAGACACAGCAAAAGCATACTCCAGATTTCGTAATATAAAAGGGAGGGGGTCTGGACCCTCCAAGACAAGCCATTTCAGACCTCCCCCGTGGGAGAGCCCTCCAAAACAACGTCCCCAGACCCCCCCGGGCCCTCCAAGATGGCCTGGAAGAGACCCCCCCTCCGAAAGGAGACCCCCCCTCCCTTTCTTACGAAATCTGGAGCATCGGCTCTGGAAGCAGGAAGGCGCTCGAAGTTAGACTGGGCTCTGGGACTCCAGCAATGCCTACTTTCGACGACCGGCGTGTACTGCAGGTCCGTGCCGTGTCGACCCTGGCGTTGGTTCCTGACACCGCGCTGGATCGTTCAACCTTGAACGATCGGCCGCTGCCGCAACGTCCGATCGTTCAACGTCGATCGATTCTGGGTCGCCGGCGGCGTTCAACCTTGAACGCCCGCGCTGGGGTCGCCGCTGGTCGACACGACGCAAACCTACCGTACCTACTTTCGACGACCGGCGTGCACCTCCGCCGGCCTCCGCCGGGGGCCAGGCGCCGCCTGCTCGGCCCGAGCGCGCCCTTTCCCCCTCGGCGGCGAGCGAAGCGGGGAACCACAACGGCGGGCCTCCTCCTCTCTCGTCCGCCTCCGCCTCCACCTCCTCCGCCTCCTCCTCCTCCTCCTCCTCCTCCTCCTCCTCCTCCTCCCGGCGGCGAGCGAGGGGGGGAAGTGAGAAGGACAAGGCCTTCTGAGAGGGCGGCAGGGCTTCTCAGAAGCCCTCGCGCCTTCTGAGAGGATCTCTGTGCCTTCGGGGAAGGCTCGGAACGCTTCTCAGACGGTGGGGGGACTTCCGAGCCTTCTAAGGAGGCCCGCCCAGGCTCGCCGCTGGCTTGTCTCTGGCATCGCACGACCTGTTCAATATTGAACGATACCATCTCTCGGGAGCCCCTGGAGGCTCTCGGCCGTATGGACTTCGCGCCGTGGTCTGTTTCACCTGGACCCCAGGGCCCGAAGCGAGCGCCCAGAGGGCGTGTTCGACACTGAACGCCCGCGCTGGCGAGGCCGCCGCATCGAAGGGCGTAAACCTGCAGTAGCCTCCCCGGGCCCCTCCTCCTCCCACTCTTCCTCCTCCTCCTCCTCCTCCTCCTCCTCCTCCTCCTCCTCCTCATCCACTTCCTCCTCCTCCTCCTCCTCCTCCTCCTCCTCCTCCTCCTCCACTCCTCCTCATCCCTCTTACAGTCGGGGGCTTGACCTAAGGAACCCAAAATAAGGAACGAGGCCCCTTTTTTCCATGAGTTAAACTTCGATTTACGATCGGAAACATAAGGAACACCTGAGGCAAGCTGCGAAATACTAAGGAACGCGGAGCCCCTCCCCGACGAAAAGGGTTCCTTCTTCAGGGCCCCGACTGTACTCCTGCTCCCTCCTCCTCCCTTTTCTTTCTCCTCCTCCTCCTGCTCCTCTTCCTTCTCCTCCTCTTCCTCCTGCCTCCACCTCATCCCTCCTCCCTCCTCGGCGCCCTTCACGCCGATATCCTCCCCGTCTTCCTCCTCCTCCTCCTCCTCTTCCTCCTCCTCCTCCTCCTCTTCTCCTCCTTCCTCCTCCTCCCCCTCTTCCTCCTCCTCCTCCTTCTTCTCCTCCTCCTCCTCCTCCTCCTCCTTTTTCTCCTCCGCCGCCTCGTCCTCCATCCAGTCCCCCCCCCTAGTGCCAAACGACGTGTCCGTAGGCTGGGCCAGGCGGTTCACTTGAAAGTTCCTTGCAGTTCACGGTCCTGAAGCCTATACAAAGTAACAATTACAACAGTGGAGCTCCCGCATTTGCGCCACGCACTTTCGTCTTAAAAGCTTGCAGTAATTACAATTATTAGTTTGCAGTATGGAGGGCCGGCTGTTTTCGCAATGGGGCCCTCGCCTGAGCGCCGAGATTGTTCGTTTGTTGTTTTCATCCGCCACGGCTGAGAGGATGGAGCCTGGCTCGTTTTACACATGGGACTCTCGCCTTAGCGCAACGCCACATTCGTCCTAAAAGCCTGCAGCAGCCACGCGGACGGAGGCTGGTTCGTTGTGAAAATTGAGCTTTCGCCTCAGCGCGGCGCGCACTCGCTTTGGGTCATTACAACAGCTACGAAGATGGAGGACGGCGCTTTGCCAAAACGGGGCTGTCGCTCAAGACTTCCTCGAACACACTTGAGCCAGACACTGGAAACAACGCGACGGCTGCACGGGCTGAAGCGGGCTGGCTCTTGTCCAAAACGGACCTCTCACCAGAGACTTCCTGAGATCTGATTAGCAGAACCTTGCTTTGTGCAACAGTTGCACGGGTGGGGGGCCCGTTCCTTTTCAAAACGGAGCTCTCGCTGGACACTTCACTGAACTGTATGGTCCAACCTTCCCGCAATCCTTATCACTCGCCAGAAGTATTCGAAACAGCTCTTGTTCAAAACTAAGCTCTCGCCTGAATGGCACGGCCATCGGGTGCTAGTCTGTGGAGCGGGGGCGCTTCCTGCAGTGTTAAGGAAGGCTTGCATGGGGGGGACTTGGGCCAACAGAGTGCACTTACGCACGGATAGGGCACAATTGGTTTGCTCTGGTCCTCCTCCTCCTCCTCCTTCTCCTCCTCCTCTTCCTCCTCCTCCTCCTCTTCCTTGTCCTCCTCCTCCTTCTCCTCCTCCTCCTCCTCCGCGTTTGTCTCCCCATCCTCGTCCTCCTCCTCCTCCTCCTCCTCCTCCTCCTCATATTCCTGCTCTTGCTCTTCCTCCTACCCCAAAGAGCTCTTTCTCCTCTTCGTCCTCCTCCTCCTCTCCTCCTCCTCTCCTCCCTCCTCCTCCTACTCCTCCTCCTACTCCTCCTCATCCTCCTCCTCCTCCTGCTGCTCCTCCTCCTCCTCCTCCAACTGCTCCTCCTCCTGCTCCTCCTCCTGCTCCTCCTTCTCCTCCTCCTCCTCCTCCTCCTCCGCCTTCTCTTCCTCCTCCGTGTCCAGACGCGGGCGCAGACGCGGCACCCTGTGCACCAGCTGCAGTGTCAGGGTGAACCTCCTCCGCGGGGGGGGGGGGAACGAGGGGGGGAGCGGCGAAGCGCGGGCGTAGGGAGGAGGGTAGGGGCAGGAGGGCAGGGGACAGGGGGGAGGGGAGCAGGAGGGGAGGAGGAGAGGCGAGGATAGGACAGGGCGGCGGGGGAGGGGGGAGGGAGGGGGGGTGGGGAATGTCGGGGAAGGGGAAAGAGGGGATCGGAGGAAAAAGGGAGGAGGGCCTCAAGCGGCACCCAGAAGGCTGGTCTTGCTCCCCTCCTGTTCCTCCTCCTCCTCCTCCTCCTCCTCCTCGTCCTCCTCAATCCCTTACCCTTATCAGTAACTCCTCCGTGTCGCACCCCCAGACGTGTTTGTAGAGCGGGCCGTGCGTTTCGACTGAGAACCCCTCCTCACTTGTGATCATGAAGCTTGATCGCTGCAACAGCTTCAGGGGTGGAGGGCAGACCGTCTCCAAAAAGGAGCTCTCGCCCGAGCGCTGCGCACGTTCGCTGCAAACCCCATGCACAAGCCTGTAAACTGGAGGGCGGGTCCTTTTCAAAGCTGGGCTCTCGCACCAGCGCCGCGCACATTCGTTTCAGAAGCTTGCAGCAAGTTCACAGACGGATGGCGGACGGCTCGCTTTAAACAACAGGTGTACGGATGGAGGGCACATTGGGTTCAGAAGCTTGCAGCACATTTGTCTCATACGTGTGCAAGAGCTGTAAGGATGGAGGGCAGGTCGTTTTAAACATGGGGCTGTCTCCGTTGCGCAGCGCACATTCGCCTTGAACGCCCGCGCCAGCTCCGAACATGGAGGGCGATTAGTGTTCAAAGTTGGGCGCTGGTCCAGCGCCGCCCACGCACATTCGTCTCAGAAGCTTGCAGCAATCTCACGGATGGAAGGTGGCTCGTTTTCAAAATTGTCATCCCGCCTTAGCGCCGCATGCATTCGTCTCATCATAGTCTGCAACAGCTGCAAGGATGAAGGGCGGGCCGGTAAAACATGGGGCGGTCGCCTTTTGCACAACGCACATTCGCCTTAAAAGCCTGCGCCAGCTGCGCCAGCTTCAAACATGGACGACGGCTCCTTTTCAAAGATGGGCTCTAGGCTCAGCGCCGCACACATTCGCCCCAGAGGCTCGCAACGGTTACATGGATGACGGGTGTTCGTTGCTCATGGTAGGCCTTTCCGTTGAGATTGCTGCACGCTTAAAAACTGGGTGTTCTATGGGTATTCTCTGAAAGGGAAGAAACACAACAACAAACACGAAGGCTGGACATCTGCAACGGCTGCACGGATGGAGGGCGGCTCATTTTCAACATGGGGCTCTCTCGCCCACATGGTCTCTGTCTCTCTCTCTCTCTCTCATTTGTTGTTGTTTTGTTCTCTCTCGCTCTCTCTCTCTCTCTCTCTCGCTCTTCTCTCTCAAAACTTCCTGGACACAACGGCCAGAAGCGGTAGCTTGTGGAACCGTCTCACCGAAATGGGGGCAGCGTTCCTCAGAACGGGGATCTCGCTGGAAACCTCGTTGACCTGTGATGTACGATCGTGCCTTCGCGCGTTGATCATGACTCGCTGGAGGGATGGACGGATGCAGAGCTATCTGCCCCTTCGTTACACGGATCCCTCGCCCGAGCGGCAGGGCCGTGCAGCGCCGGCCTTTCAAACGGGGCGCTTCTGGGAGAGGAGAGGCAGGTTTGCAGGGACCTTGGAGGAGGGAACTTGGGGCAGGAGGGTTTACTGCAACATCGTTGGTGCACCTTGGGCGTACTCTCGTTTCCCTGCACTGGGCGCTGCGAGCCAGAGGGACTCCAACGAGCACTTCTGAGTCTTTCTCCGCTGAATGCGAAGTATTCCCCACACGGTGTCCACAACGCCTCGGTGAACATACAGTCCAATAACTTGGCAAGACTTCGTCATCATCAGCAGCAGCAGCATCATCATCATCATCATCATCATCATCATCACCATCATCATCATCATCATCATCACCATCACCATCATCATCATCATCATCATCATCATCATCATCATCATCATCATCATCATAATCCTCATCATCATCATCATCATCGTCATCATCATCATCATCATCATCATCATCATCATCATCATCATCATCATCGTCATCAGCACCATCATCAGCATCACCAGCATCATCACAATCATCATCAGCATCATCAGCATCATCAGCATCATCATAATACCCATCATCATCATCACCATCATGATCGTCATCATCATCATCATCATCATCATCAGCATCAGTATCGTCGTCATCATTATCATCGTCATCAGTCTCATCATCAGCAGCATCATCAGCATCATCATCAGCATCACTATCATCATCCCCCTCTTCGTCCTCCTCCTCCTCCTCCTTCACCTCCTCCTCATCCTTCTCCTCTTCGCCGTCCTCATCCTCCTCCTTAGCCCTCCTTCCTCCTGCCTCTCCCTCGTCCTCATTCTCCTCTTGCATTCTCCTCCTCCTCATCATCATCATCAGCATCACCATCATCCTCAGCATTCTCATCATCATCTCAGCATCATCATGATCCTCAGCATCCTCATCATCCTGATCATCAGCAGCAGCATCAGCATCATAAGCATCATCATCATCATTCTCATCATCATCACCATGATCATCACCATGAGCATCAGCATCAGCATCAGCATCAGCATCAGCATCAGCATCAGCATCAGCATCATCGTCCTCCTCATCATCATGATCATCTCAGCATCACCATCACCATCATCAGCATCAGCATCAGCATTATCATCCTCATCATCATGATTAGCATCATCATCCTCAGCATCACCATCATCATGATCATCATCATCAGCAGCAGCATCAGCGTCATAAGCATCATCATCATCATCATCATCATCACCATCATCACCATCATCACCATCACCACCATCATCAGTATCATCATCATCAGCATCATCATCACCGTCACGATCACCATCATCAGCATCAGCATCAGCATCAGCATCAGCATCAGCATCAGCATCAGCATCATCGTCATCATCAGCATCAGCATCATCATCAGCATCAGCATCAGCATCATCATCAGAATCATCATCATCATCAGCATCATCATCATCATCATCATCATCATCATCATCATCATCATCATCATCATCATCATCATCACCATCCTGCCTCCTCCTCCTCCTCCTCCTCCTCCTCCTCCTCTTCCTCCTCCTCCTCCTCCTCCTCGGAGCCCTCGGAGCCTCCCCTCCCGCCCTGTCGCCGCCAAGGCACCGCCTCGCCGCCGCCTCGTTGCGCTGGCCGGCGTGCCTATAGGTCTCCGCGGGGCCGCCGCCCCGTGGCGCCGTCCCGTCGCGGCCCCGTGCGTTGCCCGCCGGGGCCCGCACGGAGGCTGGGCGCCGAGGCCGCCCGAGGCCCCCCCTCGGGGGGGCTCCTTCGCCAGCTCCAGGTAGCGCGCCCGCACGGCCTGCCGGGACGCCCCGGGCTCGAGCCCGAGGAGGCGGAGGCAGGCGCCGCGCTCGTCGCCCGCCTGGCCTGCGGAGAGGAGGAGGAGGAGGAGGAGGAGGAGGAGGAGGAGGAGGGGCAGGAGGAGGAGGAGGAGGAGGAGGCAGGAAAGAGAGGAGGAGGACGAGGCGGGAAGAGTGAGGAGGAGAAGAAGGGAAGGAGCGTGCTGCCTCGGGAAAAAGGAGGAGGACGACTTGAGCGAGGGGGGCGAGGAAAAGGAGGACGACGAGGAGGAGGAGAACGACGAGGAGGTGGAGGACGACGAGAAGGACAAGGACGTGTCAAAGATGAGCGATGCGTACTGGAGAGTGTTTCGGCGTCAGATTACACATTGATTACCATGCATTGACTCGAATAAGGCATTCGCCTCAGCACAAGGTGGCACGAGAAGGATAACATCGAGCTGGCAGCGCTTGTTCATAGAAACACATAGAAAACCTGCCACCGTGGCCTCCTGACAGGTTGAGGCATGGTAGAATGCAGGGTGTCCGCAGGTCTTCTAAAGGACCCCTCCCCCTCCTAGTACAGTTCTGCGTGCGTCCCACCTCCCCCTCCTGAGGTATACTGGGCGACCCAGGGACCTTGAAGGCTCGGCAAGGCTTCCAAGACGGCCCATGCAGGCCACCAAGACCGCTAAGAAGGCGCAGGATGCCTCCAGTGCGGCCCAAGATGGCCCCAAAAGGGCAGAGAGGCCCCCCAAACGGCTTCCGACGGCGTCGGACGGGCCAGGGGCCCACCAAGACGGCCGAAGATGGCACTAAGCTGGCCCAAGACGGCCCAGGAGGCCTCCAAGAGGGCCTCCAGGAAGACCCGAAAAGGCCAAAGTCAGTGATTTCCCATTAGTGTTTGAAGGATTGTGGCATTTGCTTTTTTTTATGCCTTCCGACGGCCCGAGACGGCCCAAGTGCCCCCAAAGATCGCCCAAGAGGCCTAAGACGACCCCAAGAGGCCCCCAAGACGGCCCAAGACGGCCTCCAAGACGCTCAAGATGGACTCCAAGACGGCCCAAGGGTCCTCCAAGACGTCCTCCAAGAAGACCCGCAAGGGTCAAACTGGCCTCCAGGCGGCCAAGATGACCTTCAAGATGCCCACGTGTTCCCCGAAGGTATTCCAAACCGATTCGGGGAACACATGGTCCGATAGTTTGGCAAGTCTGGCCTCAACGTTCGGCCACATAGTCGCTTCCAGAAAGACAGGGGGCGGCGGTGATTCGCCGTTGGCGTCTTCGATAACCTGCTTGAAAGCCTGAAGGTATGCTCTGCTCTTCTGGCTTGGTCGAACTTCATGCGCGTAATAAGCGACACCAGGTCTTTCAATGCGCATGCAAGGAAAAGACCCATCAGAGTCGAAAAATCCAGCTGCATACGCATACATGTGTTCAGGCTGATGGTAAAGCTTCTGCATTCGATCTATGTACGATGCTGCCGACATGTCATAAATCTCGTGGGCTCTGCATGCATGCGGCCGATCTCTCAAACAAGACCCGCCGCGGATCTGACCTCCCCTGAGCCGCACATTGATACCGCGTGCTTTTCCCGGGAATAGATGTTGGTGCTCGAGCAATAAGTCCGCCTGTGATCGTTTGATACAATGGCCATAATTACGAAGGTCATCAACAACTGAAGTCACCGTGGATCCTGTCATTATCCATTGGCACACCGGCCGCCAATCCGGATGGTCGACATTGTTGAAACTTGTCGCGCATATGCGACCGCCATACGGGCCGCGAAATCCGCCACCGTACCTACGACACGTAGTGGAGTGTGTCCTCAAGTCGTTGATGATCCCTGGAGTGGGGTATAGAGTACACATTTTATAGAAAGCCATGGGGCCCAAACTTCTGGGCGCTACTGGGCGCTCTTAGAACTCTCGGGGGTTGACACATGACATTCGCCAAGGCCTCGGGGCCGTGGTTGGGAGCCCAGACTTTCGAAATGCTCCACGATGAGCAGAGGGGCACGTCTGACGGCTGGTCGGCTTACGAGCTCAAAATCGTCAACATGCTGCGTAAGCGTGTGATGGAAACATTCTCACGTTCAAAAACAGGGGCCCAGAAGGGAGTCCGCGAACGAACCCTTAGGGGTATGAACGGGAATCCTCTTCTAAGATGGCCCACGGAACCTCAACGCAGCCTCAAGAGGCTCCCCATAGGCTTCCAAAAGGCCCCGACCAGAGGACCCAAGAGGCCCGCAAGCGTGCCCCAAGATAACCCCAAGAGGCTCTCATGTTTCACTGCACCCGTCACCCACAAATCGAGAAAGACCGGATGGGCCGTAGATACCAGATACCCCAAGAGCCCGCGCAACAGTACCCTCGGAGATAGACGCAGCGATGGCAACACATGGCACGATGGTCGATTCTCCCCTCAAGTACAGGATGCTGCCATCAACGTCAAAGAACCCCCCACGCCAAGAAGTATGCATTAATGAACCAGCCAGTCTAGACGGCGCCGATGCATGGTGTAAGCGGGGCACAGTCCCATGAGCACGACGGAAGGTACGAGAGACGAAGGTCAACACCATTCGGCTGGGCGGCAAAAACGAGCCGCCACTGTAGTCATTCTGGAAACACACTTGTACAAGCCAAACTGCTTTAAGGCTGAGCAGCGAGGGACAAACAAGCTGCAGTTACAATGACTACAGACTGTGCAACGAAGTAATTTAAAAAAGGAGGAGCCCGAAGGTCGGGATAGACCATGGACCAAGGTTCCACAAGAAGAATCTGTGCACCGACGCCTGTTCCTCCAATTGGTGGTCAAGCAACTCGATCGCCACGTCCCGAGTTGATACGGCGCAAACTCAGCGGCCCGCGGCTTCCCCAGCAGCTGGCACTCAGACGCGTACCCCCTTAGGCCCAGGGAGGAGCCGCAGCAGAGGGGAGGAGTGCGCGGAGGGGGAGAGGGCGCAGAGGGGAGGGCGCAGAGGGGAGGGGGGCGTAGAGGGAGGGGGGCGTAGAAAGAAGGGGGCGTGGAGGGGAGGGCAGGCAGAGAGGGGAGCGGGGGCGCAGAGGGGAGGGCGGAGAGGGGATGGCGGAGAGGGGAGGAGGGCGCAGAGGAGGGCGCAGTGGGGAGGAGGGCGCAGATGGGGACGATGGCGCAGAGGGGAGTCCCAGGGAGGAGGGCGCAGAGGGGAGTCCGCCGCAGCAGCAGCAGCAGGAGGCCCGCCGCGGCCTGCGGAGCCCGCCGCCGACGCGGCGCGGTGGCAGCCCGCGGGCGGCGCGGCGGGCGGCCGCCAGCGGCACCACGCCCGTGGGGGCAGGCGGGCGGCGCGCGGCGCGGCGGCCATCGCGCGCGGGAGGAGGAGGAGGAGGAGGAGGAGGAGGAGGAGGAGGAGGAGGAGGAGGAGAGGAGGAGGAGGAGGAGGAGGAGGAGGAGGAGGAGGAGGAGGGGGGAGGAGGAGGAGGAGGAGGAAAGCAAGGTGCGCTCGCGCGTCGACTGACGGCCTCGTCCATCCATCCCATCCCTTCCCATGGCGCCGATGCGTCTCTACCCACGGGCGCGTGTCTTAGCCGACCTGCGATTCGCGCAAACAGACCATTTCGTGCTAGGCGCAATCGGGAAAAAGGGGAGCTGCGTGTACAGGAGGAGGAGGAGGAGGAGGAGGAGGAGGAGGAGGAGGAGGAGAGGAGGAGGAGGAGGTGGCGGGAAAGCAGGAGGATGAACGGGAGGAAAAGAACGAGAACGAACAGCAGCAGGAACTGAAGCGAAGGATCAGGAGGGAAAGGAGGACAAAGGGAAGGCGGAGGAAGGGAATTGAGGGAAGGACAGCGATGAGTAAAGACTCGGATTCAAAAAAGTGGCCCGCGCTGGGGTAAGACGAACAGCAGCAGCAGCAGGAACTGGAGTGAAAGGAGCGGCAGGAACAGGAAGACCAGGGGAAAGAGGGGGAGGGGTAATGACGGGGGGGGGCACAATAAAGCACGACTGGGATCTAGAACAGTGGCCCGCGCTGGGGCGAGAGCGCCATTCTGAACGACGGGAACAGAGCGCCGATCCGAAAATGTTGCCCACGCTGCAGCGGGAGCACCATTGTGAAGGAGGGAGGAGGAGGAGGAGGAGGAGGAGGAGGAGGAGGAGGAGGAGGAGGAGGAGGAGGAGGAGGAGGAGGAGGAGGAGAAGGAGGAGGAGGAAGGAGGAGGAAGAGAGGAGGAGGAGGAGGAGAAGGAGAAGGACGACGACGACGAGGAAGGAGGAGGAGGAGGAGGAGGAGCTTGAGGGTCTCGTGCACACAAAGAAGTGCAAGATCGGCGGCGAGGTTGTCGGAGGCACAACGGGATTCGCGATATCTTGTGGCGCTTCGTCAATGCCCACATCGACCCTCGCACGCTTCGAGAGCAGCGGCTCGACAGCTTGCGGGCGCCAACTCTGGTGGACGCGGCGGCGGACGACAAGACCGGAGACGTGCTGGACGTAGTCTTCACCTACGACGGCAGGCGCGTGGCCATTGACGTCGCCGTGGTGGGCGCCCGCGCCGACGCGGCCTGGGTCGGGGCAGCGGCCAGCCGCGGCGGCGGAGGAGGAGAGGGCCAAGCGGCGACGTTCTGCGGGGCTCAACAGTTCCCCGTGCCTGCTCGAGCTGGGCGGCCGCCCGGGCGAGAGTGCGCAAGCGACGGTCCGCATGCTGGCCGTGATGGCCGGCGGCGAGTCGCGCGCCTCGGCGTTGGCCGCTGGCGTCTGGCAGCAGGTCAGTATCGCCGTCCAGGCGTCTGTCGCCTGGCGCATCGCGAGCGCTTATGTCCGCCAGGATTCGCTGGCTTTGGCGGGATCCAGGTGAGGCCTCGCGGCGCCGGCGGCTGGCCTGAGGGTGAGCGCGGCGCAGAAGGCGGAGACAGAGGCGGCCAGGGACGCCGCGGAGACGGAGACGGAAACCTGCCGCAGCATAGGAGGAGAATGAGGAGGAGGCCAGCCATAAGGCCAGGAGCGATGAGGAGGAGGAGGAGGAGGAGGAGGAGGAGGAGGAGGAGGAGGAGGGAGGAAGAAGAGGAGGAGGAGGAGAAGAAGAAGGAGTAGGCAAAGCAGGAAGAGGAGAAGGCCGAGGCAGCAGAGCCAGCAAAGGAGGAAGAGGACCACGACGACGAATTGAAGGAGGCTAGCGGCCAGCCTCAGAAGGCCGAGGCGGCCGAGCCGGCAGAGGAGGAGGGGGAGGAAACGGAGGAGGCCGAGGCGGCAGAGGCGGCAGAAGCACCAGAGGAGGAGGAGGAGGAGGAGGAGGAGGAGGAGGAGGAG